TCTTGGAGGAGTAAGAAACAAAGTGTTGTTTCTCGCTCTAGTGCCGAAGCTGAATATAGATCAATGGCTAATGGAGTGGCTGAAATCCTATGGCTGAAATCACTACTTGAAGAGTTGGGTATTGATTATGAGAAGCCCTTGATGCTGTATTGCGATAATCAGGCGGCTATTAATATAGCTTACAATCCGGTGCAGCATGACAAAATTAAACATATCGAAGTTGAACGACATTTTGTCAGAGAAAGGGTCTCCATTAATCTACATTTATATCAAAAAATGATTTTTTTATCTCAAAGTTTATGAAAATAGAAATATTAATAATGGAATAATTATTTTAGCAAAAATAGAAATATTAATAATGGAATAATTATTTTAGCAGTTAAAAATTATGAATTTGCATATGATGTGTATCTTAGAAAATTTAATATATTTGATATATTTTAAGTTAATATTATATATTATTATAAATTTTTAATTTATATTTTAATTACATTTTATAATAATGTGTTTATTGTTTACAAAAATAAAAATATTGTGAACTAAACATTTGAGAATTAATTGTTAGTTGATTTTCAGTTAATATTAAAAATTAAAAAATAGTAAAATAGAAAATAATCGACATAATAATTCACATACAATATTTTCATATGTTTTGTGCCTTGAAATTAATAGAAAATAACATAATAATAACTTTGTGCATGTATTAATTTTTAAATATATATATATATATATAATATTTTCCAGGATTTTTGATTGATACAATATCAATAAAATTTTATGATTTCTATGCATCCCACTATATTAATTGTAGTATATTTCTTCACATATACCTTTAGAATATACATTTTCTATTTGTCTATACATTAATTATGGCTATTTTGATATTAAAAATAATGTCATTAATATGTTTCTGGAATTTATATGCATTTTTTGGCGTATCCATATTTTTTTCGTCCGTATCCATGCGTTTCCAAAGCGTATCCGTATCCGTATCCAAGTGGTCCGATACGATACCCGATACCAATACTTTAATCCTTGCTAATATCCTAATTATTTTTTCTGTTATTTTAGAACACCTGATGTTAATGTTCAGTAAACATGTTAGTAAGAGGATAAGGTTATCAGTAATTTTGGTCTGAATGTTTTAAGTTTAATATTGTGCTGTTTTAAGTATAGTTTTGTTAGTGTGTCTCATAGATGCTTTTTTTTGTTCCATGGGGGAAATGACAATAATGTGATGCATATGCATGCAAAGTTTGTATTTACTTTATTCTCATATTCTTTTGGACCATAAGATAAAATTGTAAACTGCTACTGGAAATTTCAGGATCGAGTAGGTTCTTCTGTTGTAGAGGCTATGTTTTCCAGATCCGCTCCAGTTTTCTATGGTGATATTAGAAGCCATGAGAGGGTAATCATCTTTACAGGAAAATCTTATTTCCTAGCACATATAATGATCTGCAATTGCACCACAGCTCTTATGGGACATTGGAAAAATTTATTATGCTTTGCACCTTCTCTTTGTAGGTTCCATTACCTTTTTCCACTTTTATTGCTTCATGCAAAATGCATCAACAAGATGCAGATGATGCAGCTGGTGTTTGTGTTCAATCAGATGGGAATGGATATACAGGGTCTTATGTAGAGCAAACCTGTGCAGCATTTGAAGATGCTCCTCATCAAGTTTATTTAGCGCAGGTTGTTATTACAGAAATACTCTCAAGTTTATATTCTATTTACTAGTTATTCAGAAGAAAATATTGTATTGAAATAAATTGGCACATTAATTAATGTTTAATAACATTACAATGCCATATACAAGCTTTTTCTCCAAAAGCTAGATAAATTTTGTGCCTCAAATTTATGGTTTGATCAAGAGTGTCTCTGCTGTTTCAGTAATGGCTACTTGCTCTCTATGACATAGTTGGAACTTCCAAGGCATTGCTGATGATATTCCATACTGACTGCTTTTGAATTCTTTTCATATTACTTAGAAGGATGAAGAGTCATCTTCATGGTTCATGAATATTACATCTCTTCAATAAATGCATGTTTTGTTGTTTGGGCATATGTAGCAAAAAGTTGTTCATTGTTTGGTGCTTTTTACTATATATTTTTTAATAATACTTCTTCCAACAGTTTTTTTCTGTTTACTCAGTGCTACTTATTGGCATCTTGATGGAAAAAAGTTTTTGATACAGGTACCAATTTTGAATAACGAGAATGAGGAGATTTCTCAATTGGAAATACTAAGAGATGATATTCAAATGGTCTGAAAGTTTTCTTGAAAAAGTTTCTTACCATTTGTTATTTCTTGTAAAGAAAAAAAGTCTTTCCTGTTTCTGTTCATACTTTCTTTTAGGGGTGCAAAATGGGCAGGCTGGGCCAGGTTTAAGGTCAACCCAGGCCCAACCCTAAGAATTAGGCCTAGGGCCGAAGCATGGTCAAGCCGGTCAAGCCCGATATGTCCAACTTGAGCCCAACCCGCGCTGAAATTTGATGCACTCAGGTTGGGCTCGGGCCTGGGCCACGCTCAGATTGGTCAATCAGCTCGCATTGAAATTTGACATATATGTGTGTATTTATGTATGCATGTATGAAGATATGTATGCATAGATGTATGCATGTATGAAACTATATGTGTATTTATGTATGTGTACAGTTGGGGCGGGATTGGGATAGGGTTGGGCCCAGCCCAAAAAATAAAAAAAAAGCCCGAAGGTTTGGGCCCAGCCCAACCTAAGGACCAAAATTCCAAGTCCAACCCTTCTAAAATTGTGGGCTGGGTTGGTCTAGGCTTAGGTTGGGCCTGTCCAAACCCCTACTTTCTTTATCTTTCTCATTTGGCTCAGTTTTATTATTCCTTGTTGGACTCTTGCATCATTCTGAGTTTCCTCAATTTTGGTTGGTACAGCCTACAATCTTGGAATTAAAAGAATTAGCTTCTATCAATCTATGGATGAATAACTCTCAATCTAGATCTAGTACTCATTATGATCCACATAATAACCTTCTATGCATAGTTGCTGGATGCAAACAAGGTAAGACAACATTATTTTATGCAGTTTATTATCATCTTCATCATCATGCAACATAATCCTTTTTATCGTTGACATTTATTCTTATACTATTATTGTTGTTGTTGTTGCTGTTATATATTAATGACTTCCTTGATCCATACTATATATAAAAATGCAAATGCAGTGAAAGTTTATTTGGACTTAAATTACCCTCTATTTCTGTATGAGAAAGGGTATTCAAGTTATTTTATTACAGATTTAATGTCAACTTTAATGGCTACTAATATGCCCATATTTGTGTATTTAGTCTATCTCTTGTTTAAGGGTTGAAAATTTAACTTCAATTATTACTTTCCACCTCATTTAATCCCCTCCTCATTAAGTCTTATAGTTAAGGTATTAACTGCCATTTTCTCTTATTAAATCCTATATTAATTAGATCTATGCCAATATTTTTAACAATATAATTTAAAATTGACTCAAAAACAAAACCATTCTTTATCCAAGTGGTGTCTAAGCAATTCATGCATTTGAATCAAATTGATCCTATGAAGTCATAGTTAGGTAATAATTTTTTCTAAATAGAAATAAATATAGAAAATTACAAAAAATAGACACATTTATAATATTTTTATTAATCAAATTAAAAAAATAAGTGCAATAAACAAAAATTATTTTTTATTGATGATGAAAATGAAATACATAATTTAGAACCAACCAAAAATGAAATTATTTTATTGTTTGACAAAGATCAATAGTTCAACTTTTGGGTTAAATGTGTTAACCTTTAATGTCATAAATAAATAATAAAAATTAATAAAATATAAAAATACAAAAATAAAAAAAATACATAAATTTTGCAAAAAAAAAAACCATTTAGGAACATGTATAATATCAAATATTTATCATATTAAATGAACAAGTTAGTGTGACATATCTTACGCACAAAAATACAGAAAAAATTATAGAAAAAATTGAACACATCTATAATTCTATTTACACTACTATTAAAAATATGAATAAGATTGTGGAACTTTCTTTTGACTAAAAAACTCTTTTTAATTTAGTCCCTATTTAATTGTGAGGTTTAAATTGTAAATTGAACTACTACTTTTCATCTCATTCAATTCCCTCTATTTAAATCTTGCATTTTATGATAAATGAACAAAAAAAAAAAAACACCAAAAAGATAAAACATTACAAAAGAAGAGTCTAGCCAAGCAGGTAGGCTTGTCAATGATACTTAAAATTTCACAACTCAGTCCAATTATCACATATTTGGATAAGGTGTTTATGTAACCAGATTTGGATTTTGCAATCTGCATCTGATTAATAATAAAAAATAAAAAAAAATCTAAAACAAAAAACATAAAATACATAAAGTGTATAGAAAATTTTGGATACATTACTATCATTATCATCATCTAGAATTTCCACGTGCAAAGCATGTGCACACTTATTAGTTTTGTTAAAGGAGTTAAATAATAATATTTTATGCCACACATCCCCAAAGGTATACTAGGCTATCCTTTGCTGCCTAACTTTAGGTTCTAGCAGTCCAACTTACATACAATCAAAATCCGGGTCAAGACCTCTCAAAACGGCTGGTTTTTGGTCACACCTTGTCATGCCAATGCATCAGCCAAACTATTGGCGGATCTAAGGACCCATGTGAAAGTTTCCCTTGATTCCTTAACCGACCATCTCACTTCCTTCATTAAATTCCGATGCTGTCAATTTCCAAGACTGCAGTTTTGCTGCCCACTTGCCCACCAATAAATCTAGAACCACCTTCCACTACAATGTCTTTGTAGTTAAGTTCTTTCCCTAGCATCAGTCCTCGGAGAATTGCTAGTAGTTCCATTCTTGTTGATCCCCTTTGCTGATAGGTTCTGAAAATATGGCTATAATTTCACCATAATTATTTCTCAACACTCCACTAATGTCTTAATTACCAATGCTACAGTAGTTACAATTTCAATTTACACGAGTCATTAGTGGAGGGGGACTAAGAAATTGCTGCAATTTTTCTTGTCAGGGAAGATTTTGAGACCCATTGTCATCTCTTAAATGGTATATAGTCTCACAGTTTTCGTCACATAAAAAAAGACATGGGGTGAAAGTTACCAATTAGGTCTTCTCCAAACAAAACATTAATTATTATTGCTATTTTATCCATAAAAAAATTCTTGTTGTTTGTTATTGTTATCATCATCATCATGATCTTTTTCAATTGAACTGTTATTTATGAAGCTAATAATGTTTCCTATGAGCCTTCTTGTGGAAGTGGGAGTTGGGGTTGATGTTAAGGTTTGAGCATAGACATATTTATTGGGGGACCATATGAATGTAATATATTATCATTATATCTTAATATATCATTTTGATCGTTACCACCAAAAAAAGGTTAGTTTGGACAGGCAAAAGCTTCTAGCGTTAAACAGCAGTCATTACGTGTTCTTCTTGATAGAAATTCTAGGTCTGTTATTAGTGGCAATTCTATCCTTATCCTAGAAAATTCATTTATCTTTGTCATTGGTTTTTTCAAGGACCAATTAGAAAGACTATTTAGGATGGAAGTGATTAATTTCTCAAGTTTTGAGTTGACACCCTTTTCTATCAGTAGGCAAGTTAAAAAGATACTTTTAGCATGAAGTTAATGAGCCTACACATACATGGTCATTTGTTCTGTATTAGTATGCTCAATATTATATTTCTAGGTTTCATGTTTTAAAATTCCAAGTATTAGAAATGATAATCTTTCTTTTTTTTTCCTTGAATCTCAGTGGTTTTATGGCCCCCTTCTGCAAGTTCATTGTTATATCCAATGTCCATATATGGAGAGGCCTCAAACCATAGGTATGTTGTTTTCCGGGCCCTGAATAATGGTTAAGTCTCAACTACTTCTATTCCTTTTTGGTTTGTTCGTCTACTTAATTGTAAACTAGCTTAAGAAGGCAAAAAGAAGTTTCTTCAGTGTCATGGAAAACCACGACAATTTTTAAATTTCTAATGTTATTATATTGCTCTTAATCTGATGTATCAATTTTCTCTATGGCAGTTCTGTTGATCTAGAAAACCCTGATTTTTTTATTCATTCAAGAGCAAAATACTCAACAGAGTACTCCCAAAAGGTCATTCTGCATGCAGGTGATGCACTTTTTATTCCTGAAGGCTGGTAAGCTATTAGCTCTTATGCTTTTTAGCTTTTTGCACAATACATTTATTGTTGTGGTCATTCAGGTCATGTCTAACTTGATGAAGTGTGGGTAACTGCATAAAACTTAAAACCCCAATGCATATTCTGGAAGTGAAAAATAAGGTTGCAGATATGGTGATTGGTTGGGTGAGCCATAGAGGGGAGGCCCTGGTTTCTTTGGCATCATATAAGAGAGGCTAGACTTTTTGGCTTTCTTGTTCTATTGAGTGTGGAGATCAGCAAATGAGTTAGCCAATTCATTGGCTATAGGAGGTGCTAGGAGGAATCTGATGTATTGAGACTAACACTTCATGATTAGTTTATAGCATTGTATGAGGACAACTACTTTGCGGTGTCTATGGAAAGAAATGAATGCAATATTTTTTTGAGAATAAAGAACAAAATAATTCATTCTTTAATAGACTTAATCATAGTGAGAATTGCAAAGGTGGAAGGTGCAACAATCATCAAGGACTTCAGACCAATTAGTTTGCTGAATAGTTTCTACAAGATTCTGGCTATGATTCTAGCAGAAAGGCTAAAGAAGGTCCTAAATACCGTGATAGCAAAAAATCAATTTGCTTTTGTGCTGGGTAGGCAAATGTTAGACAGTGTATTGGTGGAAAATGAGCTGATAGATTCAAGAAAAAGGAAGGGTAGGCCAGGGATGTTAAGTAAACTAGACTTGGAAAAGGCCTATGACCATGTTAACTGGAAATTTTTGGATTTTGTTCTGGAAAGAATGAATTTCGGCCAAAAATGGAGAAACTGGATCAAGGTCTGTATTACATCTCCGAAATTTTCAGTGCTAGTGAATGGGCTATCGGTGAGTTTCTTTAAAAATTTCAGAGGTTTAAGACAAGGGGATCCCCTTTCCCTCTTCTTTTCATTTGTGTGATGGAAATTCTAGCTATCTCTGTTAATCGAGTAGGGGAAGTGGGCCTGTGGAAAGGGTTTGAGGCTACTTTTGGGGTGGAGAAGGTACAACTGTTACAAATTGCAGATGACACACTTTGCTTCATTGATGCAGATGTGGATCTGCTGGAAGTGCTGTTAGGGGTTCTGAGTTGGTTTGAAGTAATGTCGGGTTTGAAAGTAAATTGGTCAAAAAGTAGATTAATTCAAGTGGGAAGGGTAGAGAATTTAGAAGATCTAGCAGAGGTGCTAGCTTGTCAGATTGGCTTTCTGCCTGTTATTTACCTAGGGCTTCCTCTGGGAGCTAAGTACACCTCCTCTTTAGTGTGGGACCCTGTGGTGGAGCGTTTAGAAAGGAAACTTGCCTCTTGGAAAGCTAAATATCTATCCTTGGGAGACAGAATCACTCTCCTAAAGAGTTCCCTCTCTAACCTACCCTCTTGCTACCTCTCTTTGTTCCCAATTCCAGCCAAAGTGGCTCAAAGAATAGAAAAGTTATAGAGGGACTTCCTATGGAGGGGGTGGGAGGAGGGAAAAAAGATCCATTTGGTTAATTGGGACCAAGTCTGAGCTCCAAAGGAGAAAGGAGGCCTGGGGGCAGGAAAATGAAGATTTTTAACAGGGTCCTTTTTGGGAAGTGGATTGGAGATTTGGAAAAGAAAGAGAAAGCTGGTGGAGGAAATTAATAGCAGCCAAATATGACACAGACAGGTGATTAGGTAACTATATCCCATTTGCCTTCTTTGGGATCTTTATGGAAGAACATTATGGAAACTCATCCATTTCTAAGTAGAGGCTTATCTCCAAAGTTAGGAAATGGTCAAAGACTAGTTTCTAGAAGGACAACTGGTGTAACAGTAGGCCATTAGCAGAGTTATTCCCCCAGTTGTACCAAATTGCAGAGAATCAGAATGTGGTGGGGGCTGATTGCTGTAAAGTGAGAGACAACAGCATCTCCTGGAGATCCATCCTTTAGAAGACACTTTCAAGATTGGGAAATTGATCAAGTGGTAGAGCTGTTTGAATTGCTATCCAATCAGTCTCTTGATCTGTTGGCAGATGACCTGGAGTTGGAGTGCAGATGGGTTATTTTCAGTCAAGCCTTCGGCTAGAAAATTAACAGAAGGAAGTCAAGCTGATGTTCCTGCTGCTAAAATCTGGAATCCGATACCCCCTTCTAAAGTAAATGCTTTGGTTTGGGCTGCAGTGTCGGACATGTGCCTAACTAAAAGGAACCTGGTTAGAAGAGGTGTACAGATTCAAGACCTGCTGTGTGTGGGTGTGGCCAAGTAGAAGAGGACAACAACCACTTGTTCATCCATTGTCCTGTTTCTTCTGCTATTTGGGGACATTTTTTATCCTCCTTGGGCTTATCTTGGGTCATGCCGAATTCTGTGGTGGACCTGTTATGGTGCTGGGAGCTCCATGGCCTGTCCAAGCTGGCAAAGAGTGTGTGGATGTCTGTTCCTGCAGTAGTGATTAGTACCATCTGGGTGGAAAGAAATAGAAGGATATTCCAAAATAGTACTAAGGATGCAGAGTGTTTAATTTCTTGTACTTTTGGCAAGCTAGTTTCTTGGACTGCGGCTGCAAAAGGACTTCAGACCTTGGTGCTTGGGGTCCAGCTGAGGACAAGAAGTTTGTCAGAATTGTAATTTAGTCTGGGGTTATGGGTCTTGTATGTGGCTCTTCTTTTGGTGTTCCTTTGTAATCTCTTGTTCTGGTTTCTAACAAAATTACCTTACCCTTTCTCAAAAAAAGAATTGCACATTTGGCTTTGATTTGATATATGATGAATTCAAAGGAATCATGATGAATGGGCTATTGAAGGTTTGGCATGCCATTGCAAGTTTTCTATTTCAAGACTGAAAAGAACAGTGGAATGGTGGACTCTAGAAACAGGTAGAATGAAATTAAATTTTGATGCTTGCAATCTAGGCAATCAGGTGCATCAGGCATATGGATACTGTTAAGAGATGATGGGAAAGCATAATGCTTGGTTACTCGGGGTCTGTAGGTTTTGGTAATAAGCAGATATTTTAGTTCTCATTCAAGGTTTAAGACTTGTGCTCATTGTGAGCACCCAGTTGATTTGGGGCTCATTCCATGGCTGAATTCTAATGGAGCTGCCACCTATCTATTGAAAGACATGGGAGTGATGGGCCTCCTGTGCTCAAAAATACTAAAAAACAAAGACTCTCATGCCCACGTGACCTTTCTAGGTATCAAATGGGAGGGAGAGGGAAGGTGTTAAGCACCCCTCTCCCTTGATTCATGTGTGATACCGTTCCCCAATTAATTATTAAAGAAAAAACCCTCCCCTTGGAGTTTGCTTGCATAGCGAATTGCAATATATTGGAATTAGCTTTTATGCTCTTTTGAAATCTCCCCTTGGAGCAAAGTGAGGTAGGGATCTCCCATCCCTCTCTTTTTTATCCAAACGAATTTTCCACAAGTGACACCTCTTTTGGAATCCCTAAAGGGAAGCAAAGCAATTGGGAGATCTCCTCCCAGTTCTTTTTTTTATCCCCCTCTAGGCTTCCTACTCATAGGTGTTCGTAGAGAGTCAATTTCCAAATATCACATTCCACTAGGGGATTCAAAGTATGAGAAAAAAAGTTCATAGAAAAAAAGACTTTTCAAACCACATACAAGAGAGGAAACAATGAAAGCATGCTAGAAAGAGAGATCAAATAACTAGAGGACAACATGATATGAAGCAAAAATTGGCCATGGAGTCTAGTGAATGCAAACTAGAATTATGCACATAGAAATACATGCTAGAGGGAGATCACAAAGAAAATTAAGAGAAGAGAGACATGAAGCATTCCTAAAGAAGGAGACACATATTGAAGGATGAATTCTTACATTATACCATAATAATTAGAACATATTAGGTGTAACCAATGAGAAAGAAAACAAGTCACAATCGGCCATGGTAGAAATCTAATCAAAAGCAAAGAAAAAAAAACTCCATATTGAGAGATAAACTTCCACACTATCCTATGCCATTGGAAGATATTAGAAGAAAGGGAGAGGGAGGCATAGAAATTTGACCATGGGGAAAGAAAGCAAGTAAGAATCATAAGCAAAATAATTTCAGTTGCATACCTTTGAATGTGGCTTTCTTCCAAACACCTCAAGGGAGGTTGAAAGTGTTGTTCAATCCAAGACTAGGAGAGATGGTGGGAGAGATGAATTTCTATCTTGTTGGCTCAACAAACTCCCAAAAAAGTGTTGTAAAACATTCCTACCTTGCTTCTCTTCTTTCTCCTTCTTTCCCCTTCTCTGTTCTCACTTTTGGGCTTCAATCTTTCCATATTCTTCTTCATCCTTCAATGGCTGGCCAAAATCTTGGAGAAGAACATATGTATTTATTTATATATTTTTAATTTTGGTGTACAAGAATAAAAGGCTAGAGGAATGGTGGATTTTGGTTGGGGAAAGGAGGCTCAACAATGAAGGATGTGGGGGGAAGAAGAGGGAAACTTTGGTAGAAGAGGAGAGGTAGAGATGTTATGGACGTTTTTCCTAGGCTAATTCGAATGGGGAGAGTCAAGAAGAATGTCTTACCTTGCTAGGTTCAAATGGATTAGGAGGGGGGGGTCTCTCTTGTTTCCTTTTTAGTGTAAGAGTCTAAAAAGGAAGGGAAGGGCTTCCTTTATAAAGAGGGGTCAAGTGGGGGGGGGTTGAATACTTCCAAAAACAGCTAGGTGCACCCTAGGGTTTTGAAAAGAGGGCATCCCCATCCTATAGCTGAAATTCAAAAAGGTTTATGTTATGGAAATCTAAGGGCTAGGGTGGTGGCAAGTGTTGGGAGGCCTTTTTTGCAATTTCTAGAAGGTAGAGGGTTTATGGGGGAGGACTTGGGGCATAATTTTGTGGAATTTAAAAAGACATGGGCTTTTTGGATGACCAAGATTCAAAAGGGGTTTTTTGAAAAATTTAAGGGAAGGACTTGAAAATGGTTTTTTAGAAATAAGAAAGGGGTAAAAAAGCAATGGACGTCCAAGATTGAATGAGGCTTTTCCGTGGAAATCTAAGGGTGGGAATTTAAACCCACATGGCTATTGTGTGCCCTAGGCTCTAGGGGAACCAATAGGATTCAAGGAAATGGAATCTTGAATTTTGACATGGGTAGGAGGGGCATTTTCACACAAAAGTTTTACAAAAGGATACTTAGGCGGAGTCGAGTCATTTGGAGAGGGTAGAAGGTGTTGTGGGATCCTAGGGAAATTGATTGTTAAGTGTTTCGGTTAATGAGATCACATGAATTGGAATCTCACTTGATGAAGGGGCAAAACAGGGGAGTTTTCAATAAAATTTGACATGGGGGTTGTAAGGGGTCCAAAGAAGGTGATAATGGGGTTTGACAGTCTTGGGGTGTGTGTCGGGGTGAGAACTTGTGATTTTGAGGATAACGAGTGAGAGATCCATCGAATTGGAATCTTTTTAATGAAAGGGTAAAACGGGTATTTTGGGTCTAAGATATGGTGGGTGATAGATCGAGAGGTTTAGGAGGGTGATGGTGAGGTTCAGATATTTTGGGGGCGGTGCTATGATGAAGATCTTGAATTAGGATAACTACTACCGACGAGAGTGGATAATTCAGAATTCTCTGTAGGAGGGGTAGAATGGGTATTTTGGGTTTGAAATTTAGTGGATGGTTGACCGGGAGGTTTAGAAAAGTAATGGTTAGGTTTTAGGGTCTTAGAAGTTGTGTTGCAATGAAGATCTTGAATTAGGATAATTGTGGCCAATGAGAGTGGTCGATTTGGAATCTTCTCTGTAGGAGGGTAAAATGGGTATTTTGGGTTTGAAATTTGGTGGATGGTCGATTGGGAGGTTTTGAAAGAAAAACATTCTCAGTTCCCATGTTGAAGCAATTAGCACTCAAGTTTAGGAAATTTGGGACTTCTAACCGCATGTTCTTAGAGCCAAAAAGTTGTTGGGATGCTTTGATCGTCCCCATGTCCTGCATGTAATGCACATGATCCTATGCTGAGAATGCCAACCGTGTTACATAGACACATTCATCAAAAAAAAAAAAAACTGTGTTACATAGATACTGGTTGGGATTTCAGAATCTGATGTGGGCATGAGACATTGGACTTGGCCAGCCTGAAGAAAAATATAGGATTTGGGGACTCGGCCACTAAACTTTAGTTTTAAATTGCAACTTTCACTGATATCTTCTATGCTATATAAATAATGGGATTTTTGTTGAAAGAAGAATAATTAATTTAGATGCATAAATTAGTGCAAGCAACATTAAACAAACCAAGATTGATTATAGCAAATTATCAAGTATTACAAATTTAGCATTCATGTACAAATCTTGTGAGACGATCACACACCTATTAATTTCTTGTCCATTTGTGTGCTTTATTTGGGCTTGGTTCTCTTCTATCTTTGGTTGTAGGTGGACACCTCCCCCAGGTGTGGCAAGCCTTTTTGACCCAAGCTTTTCCAAGCAACCGAAGAGACGTGAAAGATTAATGTGGAGAGCCACAAGAGCAGCTATCTTATGGTCAGTTTGGGAAGAAAGGAAAAATAGAATCTTTAAAGGAGTGGAGAAATCCAAGGAGGCAATTGTAGAAAGGATAATTATTATGACTATTCAATGGTTGAAAACTTTGGATTTGTTTAAAGACTTCTCAGCTGAAGACATTTACAGGAATTGGGAAGTGGTGGCATCTACACCTTCCATGAAACCTATTGTGCAGGAATTGTGGTTCCCGCCAACACAACAAAGAGTGAAATTGAACTTTGATGGGAGTTCAAGAGGTAACCCGGGCCCTTCAGGTATAGGAGTATTCAGAGATGAAAATGGCAGAATTGTAGCTTTGTTTTCAGGACCAATAGGAGTGGGGGACTCATTGAGAGCGGAGGTGATGGCCTTGCTTCAAGGTGTAAGATATGCCAAACAATTGGGGTTACACCAAATTGAGATAGAGGGAGACTCCAAATTGTTGATTGAGTGGCTGCAATCTAGTAAGTTGGGAGCCTGGATTTATAGACAGCCCATAAGGGAAATCCTCAACATAACAAGGGAGATCGGTGCGTGCTTCAAATGGACAAGGAGATCAGCTAATGGTTTAGCTGACACGTTGGCTAAACAAGGGACTGTGAGGGAGAGAATGTTCTGGGAAGTTTTGTAAGAAAGATTACTGGGGGCTCAACACCTACTCAGGGGTTGACAGCTTTACTTAAATCTGGAAAGTTATTCTTAAGTTATATTAATGAAGTTACCGTTTCCAATAAAAAAAAATTCTTTAGTCGCATATTGCAGACATGACAAAAAGAAGAATCCCCTCAAATACCATATCAGTATTGATATCCACACATTTCCAAGACAGGTACAGTACTCAATGTAAATGTGTAATATCATGGTTCAAAGTATCAATACTCTCGATATGGAGATTTTGTGTATTGAGAATTTCAGCTGAGCAAAATTATGATTTTTTTATAAAGCCAAAATCCTAAAATCCCTTGTAACAAGTGTTTTGGGGACCCAAAGCAGGGAGTTGATAGACACTTTATTTTGGGCAATGCTGTAATCTATTGTATCCTAGGTTACATATATGTTGGATCATCTTTGTACTGTAACCAGTAATTAATCATTTACTAAATGATGTTCTCTTTTCTGATAAAAAAATAGACGTTCTGGAGGCCCAAAGATACAATACAATCAAACACCCGATACAGGGCTTATTGTATTGGTACTTTGAGCCTTGTGTAACATAGCTGCCAAAGCCTCCTCGATCATATGAGGATACCTATCTTCCCACTCCGCCAGTACCTAAAAGCTTGTTCTATCTGTAATATTGTTTTGATAAGTTGTGTTTTTGTATCATATCACCGTAAGGCTAAAAACGGAAGCCAGTGTGTAGATGTGAAAGGACTATACATGAGTAGTGAGTGGTTGCAGAATCTTCATAAACCATAAGGTTGGAGAACCCTGGTTGCTTGACCACATAAACATAAATCTTTTTGTCCACAAGTTCTCCAAATCCCCTCATTCCTGCAGTCACCCTTGTGCTGCTTTCTTCCCAAATGAGGAGCTTCCCGTACTGAAATCTCCTGCAATGCACCAAACCAAAGGAACCTTCAAAAAGCATGTATTGCCTCCAAAACTGCCCAGAGAGCCAGTTACAATCCAATACTTTATTTTTTTTTATCAGTGAATTGTAAGATTTATTAATTCATAGCCAAAGATAGTACATTTTAGGGAGAGGCACGAGATGCTACCTCCCCTTCAAGGAGGGGAGATGGAGGATACTGTCAACCCTTTAGTTAATAAACATAACAAAGGACAAAGAAAATTACAGAGAAGCCCAATACAAGGAGACCCGAGTAGMCCCTTGTTTAGCAAGATAATCAGCCAAGGCATTAGCCGATCTACCCATCCACTGAAATCTAACTGTCATGTCCCTCAATAGCCATTTAACATTTTTTAAAATATCCTTAAAGTCCCAAGTGACAGTACCTGGGTCATCCAACTATCCTACTACCACCTTGGAATCTCCTTCAATTATTAAGTTCTGCACTCCAAGCTGATAACCAATCTGTACCCCCTGTGCCGCAGCTAGGAGTTCAGCCCTCACAGAGTCTCCTATTCCCACCAGTCTCGAAAAAAGGGCAATGATGTTGATGTTCTCATTTCTCAGTACACCACCAATCCCAGATGGTCCTGGGTTACCCTGACCACTCCCGTCAAAGTTCAGCTTAACAAAGCCCTCCATCGGCGGAGTCCAAGTTACTTAAACTCTAGGCTTCCTAGAGGAAGTGAGGGCAACTGCAGACCAATTCCTCAGTACACCACCTATCTAGTACTTTATTTTACTAATAGCATTAGGAGCACAAACTCTTTCCTGCCCATTTTCTCCATTTTTGTTATTAAGTAATGCTTTCCTTAAATTAACTCTATTTTTTTTTTCTACTAGGTAAAATACTAATTCATTTTATACATTATGTTATATTTAACTTTCATCAGGCTTTGTTTAAGCAGTGTATGTAACATGGTTTGCTAATTGCTGTAGGTTCCATCAAGTGAATAGTGATAAGTTAACCATTGCTGTAAACTTCTGGTGGCGGTCCAACATGATGTCTAACATGTTAGAACACATGGATTCATATTATTTGCGGAGAATATTAAGAAGGTTCTCTTTTTTCTTCAAATTGTTTCCTGCTTGCTTTTCGTAAAGCCACCTATTTTTGTTTGCCATGATTATATTTATTTATAGATAATTGACTCTTATTTTGTTTCCATTTCATGTCATTTATTCATCAAATCATTGATCTATGGAGAAGATTGGTTGACAAAGAAATGGTATGCATAATCTTAATTATATCCGCTATTTTATAGGGAACCATGCTTGCTTTCAATCATTGGGTTTACAGTTTAAACATTATTTTGATAATTTTTAATTGTTTCAAAATGATAACCACGTACTTTTTGTAATTTTTTTTCTATCAAAGAATCATGGTGATTAATTTCCACAAATGCACTTTTAATCAAAATGGTTTTATCAATTCCAACAAATTTAGCTTTTGATTTAAAACTTGTTTGAATTGGAGCCTTGTAGTGCTTGTTGAGAAAACTAGTTAACTAGTTGAAATTGAATAGTAGTCTAATAATCCAAATAAATTTTGATGGTTGACTAATAGTCACCTACAAAAGTTGAATAAGTCTATATTCCCTTTTTTGGTTAGTAGGCTTTACAATGTTAACACTGTACTATTCATGATTTCAAAATAAATATACTTCTCTTAGTAACAAGAAATGCAGATCTTCTTGGAAATGTACCCAGAAAAATTTCTGCATCTGACAATCTTTTAATAAACTTCGTAATGCAGAATTGTGACTTGGAGTGGCTCTTTGGAAGAACTAGGAAATTTTTGGTATTTGGGCCTCTGTTGTTTCCTTTGAGTCACTAACCTAGACACTCCCTAGGGCTTGCTGAACTCAGTGTTATGCCTTTTTTGCTGGAATGGTTAGAAATCAGGTTTGACATGGCTGAACTAGGTTTGGTGGCTGGCTGAATTTACAAAAAATTTCTAACCCAACCTGGGAACCGATTTCCCGGTAATTTTGAAATCTGAAATTTCTGGATCGATCTTGCACTGAATTGGACCAGATTTGAAACTCAAATTAAAATTGATCATACATGATACGGAGACCACAAAGCACAACTCCCAGAGTGGTAGTTCACACCCAATTCCCAAAATCGGCTTCCAATTGAAGATGGCGCAATGTGTATGTGAAGCCAATTCAACAACACTGTTTCAGCAAAAACTGTTCTCCAACTTGCTTGGATCGAATTGGCTTTGTGAACCTAATATGCCTTGATTTTTTCTTGCAAAAACATAGTGGACGACTGATAGAAATCAGTCCCTAACAATGCTAGGTCAAATTAGGGTTTCTGGGAGGCAACGGAGAAGAGGAAAGAACAAGAGAGTGGAGAGAATTAACTGAATTGGACTCTCCCCTCTTTCTCCTTTACATATAGCATTCTCCTAATCTAATTAGGAGTTGATCCAAATCAAATTTGGATCAGGACTCTATCTTTAGTTGATAAACATTGTCGTGTTAAGAGGATAGTTGCTCCATACCTAGATCCAGGTCCATTTTCAACTCAAGAGAAGTTGTCATGTGATTACTTAACAAATCATATTAGTAATGGGCTTTAGGCCCATTTTCTCTAATGGTTCATGTCCCAAGGTGTTGTATGGCCACAAAGGTCTTGCACAAGTCAATAAGGGTTTGGTCCTACCTTTGGAAGAGGTTCCAAATTCCTTGCTCAGGGCAGTGAACCCCTGACCCAATCAACTTAGGCTCAATTTGGGCCCAACATTTACACAAATGATCATTGGATTCAGCCACTCTATGAAGACCCAAGGATAATGGACTTATGTAAGATAAAGCCCATCAAGTAATCAGCCCTGTAATGGTATCTTACACCTAACATCTCGGCCCATAATCATTAGAACACTACCTATAGGGAAGGATCTCTTCCTTGACTATAAAACAATGTCACACTCTTTGCTCGGATGGATCCCGGAATTAAAACCTTTTGCAAGCCTTTTTCATAAAATAGTAATATAACATATAGATGCGTTTTGTAAATCAGATTTCAAATACAATTGAAATCCACTATTGACAATTTAGGTTTCCATCAAAAAGAGTGTAAAGCTTGATATTCACTTTGTTTGACAAAGGGGTCGATGCTATCACTATGATCACCCACTCAAGTAATTTCCCAAACTGCCCCAACATGCCCAGGTATTTGACCCTTGATGGATCTCATTGGTTGGCACATCAAAGGTAGCTCAATCTAATACCTAGTGCAGTATCATAATCAAGTCTGGGGTTAAGTGCAACTTTTTAGTTTTGCCCATCTATCTCCAAGGTTCAGGGCATAATTGGAAATTGATCTGAGTTCAATGTTTCTTCTAAATACCCACTAGATGTGCTTGGGGTTTAACCCTAGCAGCTGAGACAAGCTACTCCACCAGTTCAGCAGCACACCTGTGTTAGCTTTATCAGGATAAACTCCCCAAGTCTATCCAATGGTTGAGAGCATTCTAAACTAACACGAGTCTCGTAAGTGTCCAGTTTAAGGAGTAATTCATAGAAAACATACCGATTAGAACATGAAACAATAATGTGCTTTGTTCATTCACTAATAATGTTTTATGTACATCAATCTGATTGGAGCTAAGGGCATACACTATCTAACATTTTCTTTTTCTATTTTACTTTCCATCTTGAATTTTTATCATATAAAGTAAATAACCTTCTTTAGTTGGTAATTGATACGAAATTGCTCTCTTAAATAATTTTCCACCTTTTTAACGGAAATTGAATGCTTGTAATAAAGAGGATTGGTATTTTTCACTTAATGTGCATGCTGATTTGTATATAAAACTAAGGAACTAGCCAAAAGTTACTTCTTTATATTATAAAATTTTTATTGCCTAGTGCCTAGGCGCCTCACTGTTGCCCCAGAATCGCCTAGACACCCCCCCCCCAACTTTTTAAATTAGCACGGCATTTAAAGGTACAAATGAAGCTAGAGTATGACATTTTCTCTCTCCCTTTTGACCAAATTTCCAGATGCAACCTAAGGATAAGAAAGACTTCTGACCTAATCAATCCAATTGGCACTGTCATTAATTGAATAATCAATCAAGTCAATATTTTCCTTTTCCTATTTTGTGTCTTGGATTAAGGAGTGGCCTGCAATATACCTGCATCACATGACAGTAATTGCCATTTGGTACTAGTGCTCCCATAGTCCCATAGGTCATGTCCTAGTTCCTCATGCTAAGGTTTAGTATTGTATCTGGAATTTTAGATTCAGAGTTTTATTTTTTTATTTCATTACTGGAAAAAAAGTAGAGGTTCCTTCAAAAATGATACCACCCTATGTCCAGAAATGATGAAGTTTAAAAATATCAACAAAATAGCCTCATATGAGCCAAAGAAAACCTGATTCCGTTGACCCCTAAAATGAGTTTGATTCACTCCAAAATCCTTCGGAGCATCTGCTCACATTATCATGCTGTTAATCTTTCCAATAATTGCTTCAACTGGAAAGATTTTCCTTGTTTTTTGATCATTAACAGCAGCTTTCATTAAAAAATAAAACATATTATAAGAGATGAGATAAAGGAGGAGAGCTAAACTTTCTTAACTCTCCTCAACAAATTAACAGTGTTATAATTGAGCCCCCAAAACAGTTTATTCCTACTCACCCCTTGTTTAGCTAGAATATCAGCGAAGGCATTGGCAGTTCTTGTAAATCATACAAGTCTCACATCCATGTTTTGTGTCAGTCACTTGAATTTCCTCCTTTCACTTCTATAATTCCAGAGTCCAGCTTCTTCCTTTTGCAGCTATCCCACCACCAACTTTGAGTCACCTTTTGTAATCAGTTTATTGCAGTTCATATTCTTTGCCCTTTGCACTCCTTCCATTTAAGGCCATTATCTCAACCCCTAAAAAATCCCTACTCCAGTTGGCCCTGAAAATAATCCGATAATTCTGCCTTCCTCATTTCTGAAAACATCTTCAATTCCTGAAGGACATGGATTCCCTGCACTGCTCCCATCAAAATTCAATTTAATGAAACCACTATCTGGTGGAGACCAAGAGGGGTTTGTGACAGACTTAAGCCAAGCAGAGCATGCCACTTCCTTGCACTTTCTCATAATGTCCTTTGTTGAAAATTGGCAAAAAGCTCCAAGGATTTGACCCATTGAACCACCCTAACAATAATTGTTTCAATAACTGCATATATGCTTCTTTCCTTATTTGAGAATAGTCTTAGATTCCTTTCCTCCCAAATGGTCCAATTGACAGCTAGGGGTGCAAATGGATTGGATCATGATCCGATATGATCCAATTTCGTTGAATTCAGATCGCCCCTGTTCGGGTCTTCGGATAGGATAATAGGATCCGATCAGAAATCGGATTGGATTCGGATCACCCCTATCCAATTCGAGAAGATCCGATCCGATATATATTATATATTTACAAATATAAATATATATAATACATATATATGTTATTTATTTATTTATAAATATATTTTTTATATTATATTTTTATAACTTTGTTATATTATTTATTTTTTTATAACAACATGTATATATATATGATGAAAATAATTAAAAAATACTTTTATTTTTTGTTTTTTACTTTATTTAAATTAGTATATTTTATTTTTCTTTTAATAATTTATTAATTTTTAAAGAAAACAAGTCGGATCAGATCAGATCCGAAGATTCAACTTACTGATAGGATTCAAATTCAAATCGACTTACTGACGGCATCCCTTAAGCATCTCCACACTGTTCTTCCCCTTGTCTTTGGCCAACTAAAAAATATAGATACAAACAAACTTTGCACATTAGGTGGGGGATTCCACCTACGCCCAAACAACAGGAAAAACCATTCCTAAACAGAGTTTACAAGGGGTAGGAGATTCATAAGTGATAGCAAGTTTCTCCATTAGCCTTACAAAGAACACACCAGTTCAGGGAAAGGCACCAATTGGGTCTTTTTCTTTGGAGCAAATCAAAAGTATTTATTCTTTTCAGGAAGACTTCCCAACAAAAGCCTCCAGTCCTTGCGGGGTGGGGGTGGGGATTGGTTTACTACAAACCCAGGAAAGGGTTGCCCCAGACTATTAGAGGGTTGAATCAAAGCCTTGAAGGAGGCACAGGAGAAGGTACTAGTGGGGGAGAGGGTTCAAATTCGACTATCAGAAATGGAGGGATCCAAGAAAACCCCTTCAACGTTATGAAGCAAAACCAGGACATTATTTAGTTTCAAATCCCTTGGTCCCCTTCTGAATCCCAGATCCCAATCAAACCTAGTTCTGGAGTTAGATGGAACAAGAAAAGAGGGAATAGTCTCATTTTTTTCTGATGAATAATGAATGATTTTATTAGAGATTAAAGAGCACAAAAGATATACACAGAAAGTTTCCCGAAATGATTTTATTAGGGAATAGTCTCATTTTTATACCTTGACAGGGCAAAAAAAGATGGGAATTTTTCTTTCAAAGGAACATTACCCATTCCCAAAGCTTGATAAGGTTTCTAGAGGACAAACCATACCTAATGAATGGTAGAAAAGAAGGAAGAGTAGCATGCATAGCCTTCTATGGGGAAGCTCTTGTCACCTTGGTTGATACTATAGCATGAATAGTCTCATTTTTATACCTTGACAGGGCAAAAAAAGATGGGAATTTTTCTTTCAAAGGAACATTACCCATCCCAAGACTTGATAAGGTTTCTAGAGGACAAACCATACCTAATGAATGGTAGAAAAGAAGGAAGAGTAGCATGCATAGCCTTCTATGGGGAAGCTCTTGTCACCTTGGTTGATACTATAGCATCCCAACCATCCTCTGCAAGCTCATGAATGCTTACCACTACCTTAGCCCACAACTTATCCCTATCCTTTGGTAATCTCCAATGCTTTTCCTTTCAAATATCCCTCTATTTCTTTCTTTCCATAACAGCATAGGGTTAAAGCAGCAAATTCCGTAGAATTTTATTTTCACAATAAGCTTTCCACCAACAATGAGGCCCAACAAATTTGAAAGATTTTCAGGGATAGCACCTCAAAAGTTTCAAGGAAGAATGACCAGATTACATAGAGACCTTGCTATGAATTAAAGCATGCTTCATGGATTCTTCCTCTAATCCACACAAGCAGCAATGTTATCATGATAATCTCCTTAATTAGATGATCCAAAGTGAGAATCCTATTCAAATCCCAAAATAACTTTGCACATAAAGGATACTTTGGATGGTACATAGGCTTTCCAGATTCTTTTCCATGGAAATGATGGATTTATAATTCCCTCCAAGATCTGACTATAAATATGCCTGAGCTATCCACTACGGAATCTGGAATCCTTAACCAAATGTTGCATCTTTTTTAACTCAAAAAGAGCAGCAGAAGACACCCTTTCCCAATCAATGATACTTCTCCTGAACCTGGGAACCCATACTACACCTTCACCCTGACATTAATAATACCGCTGACTGGTTGCATTCTTCTTGGTGGCTATATTGAAAAGAACAGGATAAGCTAAGGTCAATGAATTGTCCCTGCACTACAAGTCATTACAAGTTCTTCCAAAAGAAAATATGATTCCCTATCCTCTGATTGTATTGAATGTGGTCTAGAACTCATTCTTTATCAATTGCTTATTCTTTCTGTCATTTAACTTTTTGCTCATATAAAAAAGTTGGGTAAATAGAGCAGAATCGAATGTTGCATAGGAGTTCAGTTGGTCACTGGAAGCCTGAAAACCATATGCTTGAGCAGCCTAGTAATGGGGAAGCAGGTCATTTTCTTATACTATTAGTTTTTTTTTTTTTTTGATAATTCCTTGTTCTATTAGTTATCTTAATATTTTTACTGCTAATAACTGCAAAATACTTATCTTTGCACTAGGCATAATAAGTTCTTAACTCTTTTGAAAGAGCTAAGGCAGCTTCTACTCTGTTCTTAGGGAATTTTGATTACCATTTGGATAAGCAGTCTGAAAGCAAGGACTTAAAAGAGAAGAGCCAAAGGGAGGTAACGATGTTGAATCAGCTGGAGCCTCTTGCACTACAGGCACTTCATGAACTTGTATCTCTGGTTCATGACAGTGTTGAACTTGCTGGTCAAAACCACCCAGTGGATTCTGCTTCTGACAACTCTGGAGTTAGTATGAAAGAAATTGGACACCAGAAGATTGTGACAGCTGATAAATTTAACTTGGAGGATGATCCGATCGCTAACATCCTTTGGCCTCTTGAGCCACTCATGCTTCACAACATCTTTATGGTCATGGTGGTAAGGTTAACATCCTCTTTTATGGCTATAGTTCTTTCTTCAAGTGAAACTGTTTTGTCTTAGTGCTGGAAATGATCTTCTTTTTCCCCCTAACATCATCATATCATGATGATTTTGATAGTTTTCTGTTCCTACCCATTCTTATTTTACAAAGAATGGGTATTTTATGTTACAAATTTGAGCTTATTCTGTATATTTTAACAAGAGAAATGTGATAATATGTTTTATTTGACCTTGGATTCTTCATTTGAAGATTTGCCTGTGCCTTTCTTGATGAATCAATCAGAATGTAGTAAACATCTTGACAAGGGTTATTGTAAGGGGTATTTGTTATAATTAGACAGGATTATGAAATTACTGAACTACCATGAAATACCTTATGTTTTGGTTGCCAACATTTTCTCAGGATGGGCCCTATCAATCTTCAAGATCCAATTTCATTAGTCTGGATTTGATTTTTCCACTCAATATTTATGGGGGGCAATGAAACAGTAACTTCCATTCCATGATATAACGCTGAATTACGAGTTTGGTGGCTATTTCTTGCATTTTCTTCTCCTATCTAAGATCTTTATATCGTGTTGATAATTTTATTTTTTGATCAATAACAGTTAATTCTTTTTCATTGAAAACAACTTTTATTTGAAAGTCATGTTTGAAGAAATGGATGAATTTCTTGTTTGTTGTGCACAATATCATTATTATTTTCCACAGCCTTCAGAAATGCATTACTTTTTCAAGTCAATACCTTTTATTGCTCTTTTCAGCACAATTTCCCAAGAACCTTGGAAGCTCTAATACTGCACATGCTTTCACCAGTGGGGGCAGAAGTTCTTACCCAGAAATTTGATGACATGGACAAGCAGATCACAAAAGAAGAACAGTATATTTTAGCCCACATACCAACTGCTTTTCTTTTAATTTTCTCTGCAAAATTCTCACTTGGGCTATATGGATCAACGGGCCAGAAAATGGGCCTGGTTCATGTGAATCCACTCAGCAGCTTCCTTGTTCATTGTTTTCTGCCAGGAACAAGTTCTATCAAGCATTTTATGGTGTATTTGATGACCAGTTTGCTGCAATGAATGCAATTCTTAATGGGAAAGAATCATTTGCGCACCAGGTAATTGGTCAATCCTAGTTCATTGAACAATCTACAATAGGGTCAAAGGTTCAACACAATTACCAACACCCATACACATCTTGGTTTTGAGGAATATTATACATTGTTAATATAGAATACATCCTGATAGTTTTGAGCTACACTTTTCACATAATGACAACTTAATAGCAATTGTCACCAGAGGCTCTTTATAAATTTGTGGATCTATGATTTGAACACCCTGGGAATATAATTTAAACCTTTGAGATAGCAGCCATCCAGGGGCCATTGTATGGTGCGTCTCAGAGCATCTACCTTGTGCAAGAAAATGTCAAGGGTTAGGTCCATATGACCATATCCAGTCCACCCCTCCCAAGAACCCAGATAGCAGGTACCAACCTTGGGTATGGCCCTTTGAGAAGAGAAACATGGTTTAAGCTTCAGATTGTAGTGGTTTTGTGTCAGTCCACAGAGCACTTTGTGGGTGAGTACAGGGATGGTTGGGAGTTGTTTCCTGATTTTCCTAATACCAGGGATTTTGGTGCATATTTGCTTACTTTATTATTATTATTATTTTTTTTATCAGTAACGGTAAATTTATGCAACCTTCAGCTCCCACAGAGCCAGTCCCACCCTCAGCTATCAATCAATGAAGCCCAATACAATTGTTCCCTGGAAATCCCTTGTTTGGCTAGAGCATCAGCCAAACCATTTACTAACCTATTAACCCATATAAAAGAGGACAACCTTATTTGCTAGCTTTCTAATTTCTCTTGGTGCTTGTCTATATGTCCATCTCCCCAGGCTTTTTTCTAGCGTTGTTTTGTTACCATTGTTTTTTTAATGTGTACTGGACCTGTAGAAAAGCCAATTCCTAGTTCCTGCGGTTAGACTGGGTCAAGTTGGACTGGATTTATCTGTCACTACAATTCCGGCTGTTGTTATTGCATCCATAATTCCATATTTGTCCGCAATTACCTATAACTCGCTTGAGAATATGCTGATGAAAATAAGGTTTCCTCAGCTTTCCAACGAAAAAAGTTGGAACATGTTAATTTTTGAAGCTGCAGAATCTATATCTATCTTAGAAGAGGAAAGAGAGGAGGTGAGCGGTCCTCTCACCACAGAGCTCACACACATCTTCTACTTCTCATTTTTCACACATGGTTATTTATTTTAAAATTAAATTATAAAAATATAGGAAATTATAATAAAAACCTCTTAGGTATGAATTTTCTCTAATAAAATCCAAAATTACTCTAATAAAATCATTCTTAAAACCCCTCCCCCCAATGGTTAATGTTTGTACCATCTCTTCCCTATTAAATCCCTTCTTTGGCTCTCTTAATAATGCAGGGCTATAAATTAGATGGGTTTGGGTCAGGTTAAGAGCCAACCCAACCTTAAATATAGAACATGGGATCCAACCTCAAGGGTCCTCTTGCCAGACTCACAGATCTCACATAGACATCCTCGCCAAAAAATGTTAACTCTCTTCTCACCCCCAAATAATTAATGTTTGTAAAATTTCCCCTCCCCATTAAATCTCTAATTTTCCTATTAACATTAAATTAGATGGATTGGGTCAAGTTAAGAGCCAACCCAAGACTAACCTTACACATTGACCCTGGCCTGGATGCAAACTGATGTCGAAACCCAAATTTGCCAACTCACACCTAACCAAAATTCTATTCAATCCATGCATTGCATGGGTTTACTTGTTTAATAAATATTGTCTAGGATCCGGGAAGCCTCTGTGAAGCTCTGATTGTATATGGAGATTTGACATGCAAATAATGGTCTTTGTGCTGTGTTACAGGCATTCAGAAATGTGTTGGATCTCTACTTGGGAGTGACTTATGATGGATGCAAGCTACCAGTTCGGTGAGGTATCTTAACCATGTGCACTACTTGTGAAATTATCCTGGTTGTCAGGTTTTTTTTTACTCATTTAAATTTTTGTAAAGATCGTTATGTTCTCGAATCTCGATAGTTACCGCTGAAATATCCACAGCTAATTTTCAGTCTTTTGACGAGATTTTTTTTCCCTTGTTGATCTGAGATCAAGTCTTGTAATATACACATGGAGGAGAATATAAATGATTGTCGACTTTAGATATCCAAGGAGATGATCTACAGTCTAATATTTGCCATATGGTGCAGTTTCTTCTCGAAGTTGTTCTTCACTATTTGATTGGTGCAATAGTATGAACTATAAGCAAAATTATATAGAAAATAAGAGAAATGATTTAAGGAACGTTATAAAATGGTTTATTTATTTAATTATTTATTATTCTACATAGGCGAACTTATAGAGAACATATTACAACATGCCCTTGCCTCTCGATCCATAGGGACTTTCAATGGAGATAATTCCAAAATTCAAGTCTAATCTTTAGGCTGTATTTGGTTTGATTGAGACTTATACAAAATTCCTTAACAACTTTCCATCAAACGTACTGTAACCATACGTCCATGGCCCATAATCCACTCATCCCGATTTATGTAATTATTTTGATGAAAGTTGGTTCTTTTTTTTTTTTTTTCTTTTTAGTTTATTCATATACTTGCGGATTTTCCATCTTCCACGTATAAAAGGACAAAATTTGCTCCTTAGCTTTGTCTGATATGGTAAGTTTCCAACCGGGCCTGTTTTTGCCTTTTTAAGGCTTGGCAGTACCACGTATATCAATGGCCTAATCATAGTGATGGCCTTGGGTTCGGCCCACTATTCTGATTTGCTGAGTTACATAAGAAAACACATAAAGGTGCTTATCGAGTAACTTTCAGCTTTGCATCATTGCATGTGCACTCAATAGCCCTGCAACTAATACCACTTGGTTCATGGTTAAAACACCATTTTGGGCCCTGGATTCGTAATTAGATAGTCAGGGCCATATTAGTTAAAGCTTTTGTTAATGTAAGTATGGGACCAGGCGACCAGCTTATATCTGACCAATGGGATCTGGGCCATTAATATATACCGGTCCCATCCAATTCAATGATTGAGCTTGTGAGCTATAATCCAGTTAATATGGGTCTTGTACTTCGTGAGCAAGATTGATGCATTCATGTGGACTGTGAAAACGAATCTATGGTGGTCCCGTACATGCCAAATAATCGGCTTTGCATCTGATTCATTCAACCATCAATTTCTTCATCTTTAATTGAATTCCTAGTCAAAGACCACAAGACAACAGTTTGCCATTCTGGCGCTTGCCGCTTGGGCTCTGATGAGTATTCCTCGGCGCTTGCAAGAAAAGGGCCGCCCCTAACCGATGTAAAGAAAAAAAGGTAATGTCTCCGACAACTCTTTGTACTTGCGTATAAAGAAAGCTCAACCATCAATTCAGGCATTCAGCACTAAGTTTTGTAAAACCTAGGGGTTTATTTCATTTTGAAGGGATAAGAGATTCATCATATGGATGGCCGAATCCTATAGGAAGGTTGGGCGAAATTTCAAAAATTTCTCTCTTCCATTTGGGAATTGCATTCCCTATTTTAGAAAACTGCATTTTCAATGATCAATCTTGAACCTAGAACCGGACCAGATCTGAAATCAAAAGAGATGAGAGGGATGTACCTGATACGAAGTAGTAGTAACTTCCAATGAAAGTATTCACACCCAAGGGAAAGACTAAAACCCGTTTCCACTGAAGATGACACAGTGTGAGATGAAGCAGGATCAGTAGGATGGCTCTTCAGCAAGAATTGAATAGGGGCTGGTGAGCACGACTTCAGATTGTTTCTTCAACCAAGAAACGATATCAAGAATCTTTCTTGATCAATTCCACAAGAGGAGATCGAACTGGGTATGGATGACAATAATGGGAGAGAATTCTGCAAATTGTTGTGTCTTAAAATTAAGGATTTAGCCCTCTATTTATAATCTTCTTTGGATCAACCTCCTAATCTAATTAGGAGATAGTTTCTTGATCCAAATATGATATTTGGATATGGACTCTTAAATGGATAAGACTTATCTTATCCTTTCAGCTAATCCTAATCAGATTATAAATCAAATTTTGCCTCCTATTTATAGTCTTCTTTGGATCAACCTCCTAATCTAATTAGGAGAGAGTTTCTTGATCCAAATCTGATATTTGGATCTAGACTCTTAAATGAATATGACTTATCTTATCCTTTTAGCTAATCCTAATCAGATTATAAATTAGATCTTGCCTCCTTTTACTTAACAATTTAAGCCCAATTCAAATTGGGCTTTAGGCCCATTAAGCTTATGTGCTCACTTACCCCTTAACCTGCTGCACAGCTGGCTCTCTTTGTATGGTGTGGAACTCAAACATTGATCTACACATCAGCCACATAGGATCAGCCCAACCTTTGTTACAAGGCCTGGCCAAATTCACTATAGGAGACAATGAACCCCTGATTCTATCACCATGGGCTCTTAATGGGCTTAACGTTTACACTAAATGGTCATTGGGTCCAACCACCTTATGAAAGCCAAAGGACTATGGGCAGATGCAAGATTAGTCCATCAGGTATTACCCTCAATGGTCTTATACTTAACTTCTCAGCCCATAATGATCAAACACTACCCGACAAGAGATGACCTCTCCCTCGGTTGCAAGGAACAGTGCTACACTATCTACTCACATGGATCACAGGAATTAAAACCTTTTGTAAAATATTTTGAAATCATAATATATATATATTTTGCAAAACAAATCTCAACATTTGAAATCAACTCCCGACAGTTTAGGTTTCCATCAGAGAGAGTGCATTCCCGGATCATTCACTTTGTCCAACAAAGGGGCTGATCCTTTCACTATGATCACCCACTCAGATGAATTCTCGGACTGTCCCAACATACCTAGGTTTTGACCCCCTTTAAGGATCTCACTGATTGGCATATCAAAGATAGTCAAATCCGACACTTAGTGTAGTACCATAATCGAGTCTAGGGTCAGGTGTAACATTTTAGTTTTGCCCATCTATCTCCAAGGTCCAGGGCAAAACTGGAATTTGGTTTGGTTTAGGGTTTCAAGAAAAACTCACACTGCATGTACCTCAAGTCTCACCCTGATAGCTGAGACAAGCCACCCCAACCAACTTGGCGGCACATCAGTGTCAGCCTTGGCAGGATAAATCTCAGATCTATCCAACGGTTGTGAAGATTCTAAACTAACACGAGTCTCATAAGTGTCCAGTTTAAGAGTATTACACAGAAACACACTATAATGGCATGAATTAATTATGTACTTTATTAATTTATAATAAATATCAAAAGATATATCAATCTGATTGGAACTAAGGGAATAACTGTTTAACACATTTGCCATCTTATATCAGTTATTATTTTTTAGAAAGTAGCAAAAAGATAAAGGGAACACCCTATGAAACTTGCCCTGTTTATATTATATATCTTCCCACCCAGTTCCAGAGAAAAGAAGGTTTAGAAGTTAGGACCCATTCCCAATTGGACTGAAAAGGTCTAACAATATTCTTGTTGCAGGCATCCCAGACTGGTCGGCAGCAAATTTCACAAAGATGGGTCATAGGTATAATCAAGATGCCCATGCCCATAGATGGCAAGAATTCTCTGTTTCCAGGGGGCAATGTGGAATGAGCTTACACAGCTTAGCTCCAACTGAACTATATTCGATAATACCAGGTGGGTATTGGTAGCCAAGTAGATTCTGATCTGACGTCCAAAGGCCGGGATCCTCTCATGTGAGATGTGGGTGGGGACTGGGGGAGCTCATCTTCATCAGAGTTTTCTATCTATGTCCATCTAAACACTTACAGTCGGGACAAGAAATGATATTAAGAGGCGATGGGGTCAAATATGTTTTGGGAATTGGGGTAGGATGCCAAATATTATCAACATAAAGAAAGAAATAGGGAATCTAGCATAAAGGAAACCGACCTGAGCAGAGATCATGCTTGGGAATCATCTGCTACACCTACACATCTGAGTTGTGAACCAAGTTCTGGACTCTGCAGTTAGCAGCAGCAGCAGCAGGTGAGGGACCCACCATCTTTCTATAGTCTATAGTCTATAGTCTATAGTCTATACCCACCAGCACCAGCACCAGCACCCCCTCGATCTGCAGAAAATGTAGCCGTGTGGTGTGGATTACCGGCTACGGTAAAAATCTTTTTACAAATACTTCTTCTGTATCTTTCATTCACTCGGTGCGCTTCAAAGTTCAATCATAGAGTTTGGATTCTTCTCTTTGACCACACGCACGCACCCTCACCAACAAGCATATGAAGCATCCACCACCCATCACGCAGTAGCTCCTGATGATCCGAACCCGCCCTTTTGAGTTTTGGCCGATATCCGGTTTTTATAACCCGGTTGGTTCTGGGTCTGGGTCTGGGTCTGGGTGGTTCCAACTTTAAAGAGGATGGGTTATGGGTATACCCGGACCCGACCTTGGTGGCAGTGGCACAAAAACACACAGCCACACCACCAGCAGTACTGGTAGTAGTGGATAAAAGGGTGGATGTAGGTATCGTATTGGGATCTGCAGCGAAGGGGCAAAGAGGAAAAAGCATGGAAAAGCAATGGGTCGGGTAATTATTAGGTTTTGGAAGAAAGGGGAAGAGAAAAAGAGGTAAAGAAGAGGGTAAGAGGGGTTGGGTCATGGGTGGTGACTGATAAGATGAGATGAGATGAGATTCCCTTTAATGAGCGATGCCATCTACAACTTGCTTTGCTAAGAAGGGGAGGATAGAAGAGAAACTTTTGGTTTGTCTGCTTGTGCAACACCAGTGATAAAAAAGAGATGCAGTCTTTTTTAGCAGGCAAATGGCATGTATTGTACCTTAACCACTGCAACTTACATATACTTTCTAAAAGCTTGGATATCCAATTAGAATACCCAACCCTACCTTCCTTTCTGTAATCCCTAGGCTTCTCTCTCTCTCTCTCTCATCCCCCTTTGAATATTCATTATTCAAAAACTGATTTGTTGGGTACTTTTTGAGTATTTCTTCTTTAACTGCTGCACCATTTATCTGTTGAAGTGATCTCTTAGCAGCTTAGCAACTCTCTCTCTCTCTCTCATCCAATTGAAGGATTGAGTGGTCTCAACAGATTGTATCTGGGTTCCAGTAACATTTAGACTTTGTGTTATAATTCATCTTAAATGGGTATATTTGTAGTACCACAACCACAACTACTGCTTTGTAGAATGAGGAGAAAGGAGACTCTTGATGGCAAGTACAAACACTCAGTCTGCTATGGAGTCATAGAAAAGAAGAAAACAAAAGCTGATGTCCCACCTCCTAAACCGCCAAGAATTGTACTATCAAACAAGAATATGATCACCACCGTTACCAATGGAATTCTCTAAACATGTCCTCTTAGCTATTACTCATGTTCATAATTCAACCTGTTGACTAAACCGCTTGTGGATTGCAACTGATCATCGAATGTCTTTCCTCTATCTTTTTTTTTTTTTTTTTAAATTTACTTGTCTGAACTTTAATAATTGATGTATATAAACAGACTAATTGCAACATATATAAATATATTCTGTCTGAAATCTGAATTTATATCAAGGTTATATGTAAGATAGGTTTGGCAAGCAAAGGCTGTGTGATGGGGGCGTGCACGGAATTTAAGAAAGCACCACCAAGAAAAAGATGATGACTGAGAACTGTATTCAAAGTATCGTTAAGCATCTTTCTTCTAGCCGTTGACATTTCTGTAGTATTTTTTTTTTCTTCTTCTTCTCTTCTTTTTCTTTTCTTGTTGTACCACTACCTCCCGGACCACAAAAACACCAACGCACACACCCACACCCACACCCACACCCACATAAAACATTGACTTAGCTACCTTTTACTCACGCTCAGAACAGGTTTTACAGCCTCTATTCACTCTTTAGAAAAGTGTTTTCTTTTCTCTCTTTCTTTTACTTTCCTTAATGCTTTAGAATAATATTAGTTAGAGCGAAGCGATATATAACAAAAAAAAAAGTGTCTGGTCTCTTGAATATTCACTTGAATTAGAATATGATAAAAAGAGATAAAGTGATCTGATAGATAATTACACAAAAGGAAAGAAAGTATGCTTCACCCTTGTCTGCTCAGTGCTTAAAATTGAACAAACGAATCTCTTTTATTGACAAAAATTTTGGTGTTGATTGACAAAATATTCCTCCACACACACAGCCACATCATCCATCACATATGGGATTGATTTGATCTTGCAACCAAGAACTTGATTAATTAGTATTATAAGAATTTAATTGTCATTTGCCAATACCCATCCTTTGATTGATGGGTCCCACCTAGGGGATCCATCTCCTTAGGTAAACAAATTAATAATAAGAAACAAGTAATTGGTTCAATTTGGATAACAACAACAACAACAAAACTCACAAGTACAATACAAGTCCAAGTGGCTTACATTATTTTCTTATGGTGGGACTCTTGATGGATAAGCTTTATAAGCTAGTTGTGTTTGAATTGACAATTCTAATTATTTGTGGCTTAGAGAGAGAGTGATTCAGAAGTTAGTTGCAATTTTTATTTTTAATTTATTTTACTTTTGCTAAATGGGTTGCGTGGATTTTTTCTTTGATGAAGGGGGTTGAATTCTTCCTACGTACTGAAATCAGATGTGATAAAAAAGGAATAAAATAATAGAATTAGATGATGATGATGATGGTGACGACTTTTTTTGAGACAATTATTTTGTTGTAATCCAGAAAATAATCAGAACAAGTATAAAGTAAGAATATATGTTATCGTTGGTCATTTCGTTTTCCAGAGGTAAAGGCATACGGACGGCGCCCATGATTGTCGAGTCGAGTGTCGGAACCGTCTTGACTTGGGTTTTGGGTTCGGTTCAGGATCAGGGGTACATTCGTAAATCCCGAAAACCACTTTGAGGTATGAGTCGTGAGTCGTGATCGCCCCACAGGCGATCAGTCACCGACAGGCGACAGGAATATCAGTTCACATCAACGCCCCACAATGCCCTACAGTACATTTCATTTCGATCTTTATCATCTCATTATCTCCCCCCGGAGATCAGATCTATTCCTCGTAGAGCGCACTTCACACCGATCTCATAAACAAATTTCACCAGATATTGAGAACACACCCGTAATTATGTATTACTCGGAGATATTTCCGATATGATTTTAGAACCATTCAGACAACTGCTTCCTTTTTTTAACTAAAAACCGTTGAAACGATCCATTTGTTAATTCGGATGGTTGAATCATTAAATTATTTGATGATTCTATTTAATGGTCTTTAACCGTTTTTTATATTAATGTTTTAAATTTTTTGTCAAACGATCGAATTGTCAACTCAAAAACAGATGATTAACTGATTTTGGATCATTTTTTAAAACATAAATTTCCAATCAAGAAGGGATGTATCTGTGAGGTCTGGTGTGAGATGCGATGTGTGATAAGCAGATACTAATTGGATATGTTCGGGATGTACTATAAGGGCATTGTGGGGCGCTGAAGTGAACTCTGTAGTCTGTACTTGATTGTTTTGCTATTTGCTCTCGCCTGTGTCTTGCTGTGTGGGCAACTGTCTTATCTTTCCACACCAGGAGGCCTTTTCGTAATTCGAATTATCATCTTCTTTTCTTCCAACGTTTATGATATGATATCATATGACCACATAATGTGTACAATATAATATATCCATGGACGACATCACATCGGACCACCACTCACCTACATTCAACAATCATGCATGCATGGTCATGGTGCATGGGTCACATGACCATGTTATTCATGGACCCACGTACTCATTACGCTCGTATTAACGTGCGCCCTCCATGCAGATTGCAGAAAACGAGTCTACCACGCGTGAAAAGTTTGTACTCATCCTAAACTGTACATGGATTCGTACATGCAAACCAACAAACTTGGCTTCATGATCTTATTATAAGTAAGGAACCAAAAAAATGTCTACAGTAAATCAGTAATGACGCATGGAAATTGGAATTGAACTCCATACATGCATGCATGTGCATGTACATGTGTAGATGATGATGACTGATGAGAATTAATAGGCCACGACCCATGAGAAAACGAGAAAATGAGGCTCTTCCTTTGATTTTTTTTTTCATTGAAAAACAGGCAGCTCTCTAGTCTCTCTACATTCTCTCTTTCGATTTTTTTTTTCTTTTTTTCTTTTTCCTATAAAGTAAATAAACCGACAAAGAACATACCTAACCATCTATCTTAAAAATAAACTCCAAGTTAACAAAGAAACTGCCATTTTTTGGCCAGATTTGATCCAGAGATCTATGTATTGTTTTACTTTTATGGCAATGCCATTGTGCCTTTTTTGTAAGTTTTTATGGCCAAAAGAAGGAAAGAAATAAAATAAAAAGAAGAGAAGATTGATGAGAGAAGAAGAGCACTAAGAAAAAGAAGAAATGGTGGAAGGTATAAAAAAAAAAAAATAAACAAAGCGGAAATGGCGAGGGGTTGGTATCATCTTAATTCTTAAGTCGTAGTTTTCCTGCAAATTTGAAATTTGGCCTCAGGAATTGTTTATGAAAGGGAGGGCTATATGCCTATATCTATATATATTAAGGAAGGAAACATGCATGAGTTCCATTTAATTCTTTTACCGTTTTTTTTTTTTCCTCTTTACTGTTTTAGCTAGCTAGGCTGCTTTTACTTAGCCCTCTTCCTGAGTCCAGATCAACGACTCTCTCAACTTCAGCCTTCGAGTCTTCCACAATCACCCCACGCCTCCGATGCAGCCTGCTCAGTAAACCCGAAGCCGGGAGGCTTCATCACCGAGTGGTCACGATCATAGGGTGCGAAATCAACACCTCCCGTGAACGATAACAGATCTTTGACGTTCACGCTGACGCTTCCATCACCACCACCTCCACAGTCACCTGTTAGACCCAGAAAGTCTCTCGTCAGACGGTCATTCTTTTGCCACGTGGACAGGTTTCCTGATGGGAATCCCAGATACCCAGGCGGCATTCCGGCACCGACCTGGCTCATTGTTCCCAACTCCTCCAACCGGTTAATGGAGGATGCCATGTGACCCACTGACTGGGCTTGTGTGGCGCTAGAAAGAGCTGAGACACCAAAATTTGCAGCCTTTTGAAGGAGTGCAGTGGCTGACATATGGGCTGTGCTGATGTTGCTGTTGCCGTTGGTGGCCATTTGGAGGTGTTGAAAAGGTGATGTGATCAACTGTTTATGGTGTGGTTGGTCACGGAAGAAAGGAGAGGGAGAAATTGTTGGGATTTGCTGCTGTTGCTGTTGTTGATGAGTTCCAGTCTTGCTTTGAACCGAGTTTTGAGTAGTGAGGTTTGGGTTCTGAGATGGGTCCCATGAACTGAGAGAGATCTGGGATGATGGGTTTGTGAAGTTCCGTTGTTGGGTTGAGAAAGGGAAGAAAGGACTTGGGTTTTGTGGGTTGAGATGGAGGGGGTGATCGGTTAAGTTGTTCGTTGTTGCTAATGGGTTTGTGGAGAGTCTTGCACTCTCTTCTGCTAAGGCATCACAGAAAGCTCTGTGAGTAATGAAGCTGTCCTTCCTGTAGAAAAATCAGAGACAACGTAGTTAGCTACAATATTGAAGGATAAATTAAAGATCGGAGATCAGAGGTTGTAGTTGTTTACTTTTCTTTTTAGTTTTCTGGTTTTAGCGTTGGATCAGAATAACTAGTATGAAATTACTAATCCGGAAGCCCGGACTGTATATTGGGAATCAAAAAGTAAAAGTTAGTGGTTTTGGGGCCCTTGAAAACAGATATACATGCATGAAAAATGGGTCATGCTGAGGCTTTATGAAGCAAAAAAAAAGAAAAAAAGACTAAAAACAGGTTTAATTTTCATGCATGGAAAATTAGTATTATGCTGAACATGTTTCTTTAACGAAGAAAAAACAAATAAACAAGACAAAGAGAATAATGGTGAGTCATCCATGATAATTATAAGACATAAAAGCGATACGAAGCTCAAGTTTTAAGGGGCACAAACTGTGCAGATGTATTTCATTTGTCAGTTGAGTGAAAAATAAATAAGCAATAATAAATAGGCCCCCATGAATGAGAAATGGGAATGTCTTAGAAACACTCAAACAGAGAATATTCTATAAGGGATGAAAGGTTTTTAGAATTCTCGTGTTGTAAAAGGAAAAGGGTGAAGGGTCCCTATGCATGAAAAAAGGGAATTGTCTTAGATTCATAAGAAATTCGATAATGAATGAGAAATTTTTATAATACGCTTGTAGCATAAAAGGAAAAGGGTGAGACCTGAGAATGCATGCATGAGAAATGGATACGGTTGAGAAGTGATAAAGTTTGAATAATGTAAAGAAGAACGAAATTATCTTTGTTGGTCAAATAAAATAATCATACTGGAGAGAGAGAGAGAGATGCGTGAGCAATGCAAGGAGATTATGGAAGGGACAAAAGTCTGGATTGAAATGTGGAATATTAATAATACAAAAAAAAGGGGTCTTGGGGAGCCATGAATGAAATAAGGATAAACTCTCTAAAATTGAAACCACACCCCTCCTATCGGCTATCGATGAAAGGAAAAGGAAACTAACTTTCGATCTCAGATATTTGTGCCAGTTTTTTCGTAATTATGTGTATAGTTCAGGTTTCAGTGTTTCAGCTGCGAGTTCTGCGAAATGTAGGCTGGTAGGAAAATAATGCTAGGGCATCATGAACATCAATCACGGACTTTCTAAAACCATGAAAACCCAAAGAAATCAAAATTAATTAAGAAAGTAATTAAAGATGCTACTTTTTCTTGGACTACAACGGAGACTCATCATTTCTCTTGAGATTGCAGACACTCCATAACTTAAGTACCAAAAAGGAAACAGAAGAAAAGAAAAACAGAAAAGGAAAAGAAAGCCTTGCATGAAATTGTCCATGAATTCAATGACCAGGTAAGACCAATAGGTCTGCGAGGATATCATGTTTTTGGTGGACATGAACAGATAATAATGGGTTTTGGTTTCCCTTCTGAGTTCTGACCCCCAGAGTCCCAGAAACCAAGAAGGAAAATCGCATGCATCGAGATTTAGAACAGAAGAATGACTGAAAATAGCCACTAAATCACAGACAATAGATAACAAAATAAAAGTTTAGGTTAGATCTCTTTTCCTTTTCTTTTGTCTTAGATGGATTTTAGTTGCAGCTAGTTTTCAGAGTTTTCTTCCTTTTCTCCTCTCTCCTTCAGTTTTTCATGCCAGTAATAAGAGACACCTGTATTTAATGGCGTCCACTTCCATGCAACTGCCAATGCATATAAGTTTCAGATATATTCCATGCAACCTTACCACTCTTGTGCAGGGATTAGGAACAACCCCAAAACAAAGTCTATTGAAAAAGAAAAAAAAAAAAAAAAAAAACAAAAACCGTCCAAAAGACATAAGACTTCCCACTTTAAAGAAAAGACTAATACACCAATTCACAGGTCCATTACAGTCCAAATAGGTGAAGAACTAATAGACATAATAACTGATAAAGGAAAGGATGATTGGGACCTTAAGAGACAAACAGACGGACAGACAGACCAAAAGAACATTTTAATTAAAAAGAGAAAAAGGAAAGAAGCAAATTATTTACCTGGAGAAAAGGGTTCCACAGTCACATCTGTATTCCCTTGTGCCACAGGTTTTTGAATGAGCCTTCCAATCTGATTGAACTGCATATCTCTTTGAGCACTTCTCACATTTCCATTTCTTCTCTCCATGTTTCCTGCAGAAGTGTTTTTTAATTCCCGTGAGATCACCGAGAGCCCTTGAAGGGTGGTGATGAACGCATGAAGGCTCGGGGCACACATAGACTCTCTTTTTGATCTCTTTGCTGGTTCTCTGCCTCAGCTTCCACGGAAGATTATGGCCTCTCCTGTGAAGCTGAAGGTTCTGATCTCTCTGGAAACCCTTGTTGCAGATCTCGCACACAAATCTGTTGGTTGCCAATAGAGTTTTAGGGGATAAAGCAATCACTTCAGCATCTGGGTCTGAAACAATAAAATGAAAGGCACATATAGGGAGATTAATTAGAATCAGCTGCAAGAAATCCAACACAATATTAACGAAAATTGAGAACAAGGAGGGACATTTACCTGGGTTTCCGGGGAGATTTCTCTTCTTCTTGATCTTCTGTTGTTGCGGCTGCTGAGAAATGGCGGAGAACATAGGATTCAAGCTACTTAAGTCCTGAACTCTATTACCAGAAGAGACACTAGCTTCCTCGGACAAGGAGGTTGAATTGGACATGGTTGCAGGCAACATGCCTGTGAATACAACTCCAAGCAAACAAAAAACAATAGTCAGATCTCTTTCTCTATATTGGATTTCTTTCAACACTTCGCCCTTATCGCTTGACGGCTTGACCGACTACTTTACAAACGAATGAAACAACAGAAAAAAAAAAAAAAAGAAAAAAGAAAAATAACACTGAAATAGAAACCCCCAGCTTGGAATACAGCACAATACAGCCTAAATGAAGCACAGGTGGCAGTGATATCTAGACACAGAAAGGCATCATTTGATTAGTGGCAAAAGAAAATCTCGGGAAGAGAAGAGTATGATTATGGGTATTCTTAGAGTCACTATCTACTCCTGGATTGCTTGTCTGAGCAATTCTGCAACACAAATAAGAAACTTCTTTCCACTCTTTCAAGCCCATAAATCTCACCATGCAATCAAACATGGAAAAACTGGACAATAAGATGTTTTCTCATCCTAAATCCCCTACCACCAGTTAACCTTCTCCACTCCCTCTCTATTTATGTAAATAAAGAGAGACTGTGAACTTCATGAGTAACTGGTATTGGAGGAATGGTGTGTATTTTTTCTTTTTCATAGCCAGAAAAGAAGTGATGATTGCTGTGGCAGACTAAGGAGAAGGGGCGGCATATTAGATAAAACTCAAATTAAAAAAAAAAAAATCAAACCTAAAAAAAACCAGGAAACCAGAAAAAAAAAGTGCAAAGTAGAGAGGGAGAGAGAGAGAGGCAGAGACCAGGAATCCAACCCCACCTCTTCTCTTGATTCAGCATTTTTTTAATTTAGACTTACTTTTATATTTCTTGCATCTCCAAATCTGACGTTGGCACTTTCTGTCTTTTCCTTTGTTCCTGTTATAAAACACCCAACCCTAAAAGGACCTTGATTTGAATGGAATGATATTAAAGGAGGGAATTGCTTACAAGAAGCTTAGCAGAAGCTTAAAAAGCTTGGGATGGTAAAGGCAATGGGAAGAGGCCAAGTCTCCTAACCTTTTTAAAGCCCCACAGGAGACATGATCATCAGTTCATTGATTAACTGTCATCTTATGTTGTTAATTAGTTTAGTAATGCAGTTTCACCAGTCTTAAGTTTTAACCCCTCTATATTACATCCCCCCTTTTTTCATTATTTTCCTCTTGATCTATTTTCATTTTTTAATCTAAATATGGATAACATGGATCAATGCCTGGTTATCTTATTTTACTCTTATTCTTTATATATATATTTATGCATTCCAATTCCTAATTAATCTCTCTTCAAAGCCCACAACAACTAATCAATTGACTGATCATATATAGACCTGCCTCATTACATACTTTAACCTAATTTGATAATTTTTTTTTTTTTTTTTTGTGAAATGGCTTTTCTTCTTCTTCTTCTTCTTTAGTTTAATAAATTGGCTGGGTGAAATCATGATGGATATCTCGTTTTTACTAGTTTTTTCAAGGATTTACTCTGTTTCTCCTTTTATTTTTATTTTTTGTTCGGTTCATTCTTTCCTTAGTTATTCTCTTACATCCTAGTGCATAGTGAAAGTGCCCAAGCTTAACCCCACCATGAGGAATTTTTAGGGCCTCTTCGTCTTTTTTCCTTTTCAACTTTTTTTATTCCAAACCCAGACCCAAAGCCATGAAGATATGGATAGAGCAGATAGAGGGACCATCTTATCCCTTATGTTTACCAAAAATACTAAACAAAATTCATCTTGAGCTTGCAAAACAGTAAGGAGTAACTAGTCATTTAATCCAGTGTAAAGGATTCTGTTTTCCTTTAGAGGGCATGCGTGCTATAAACGTTGCACCCAGGATTAAAGGCCGCAAGGCACCAGGCAGCAACCAATAACCCAATCCACAAAGGTTGGCCCATCCCAATTTGGACCCTCATTAAATGTAGTAATGTACCCAGCTAATTTGCTCTATTAATCAAATGGAATCCTATGCCACTGAGTTGTACTATTTGCAATAGATATCACTGATAAATCCAGCTTGGACTACTTAATAGAGGTAAAAGGGCTAATATAACTGCAGGAGAGTTTCCTTTTCTTAGTAGGGACTAAGGTGTTATAGTTGAGTTGGAAAGGAATTGAAAAAAAAAAAAAGCTATGGGTCCATTTGAATAGTGGGATTGTGGGAAGATAGTCAGACTGTCGAAGAGTTAAGATCATATACATCGGGTTTATTTTGGTGCATGAATACGAAGGTTCTCGGATTGTTCTGGGCATTCAAAAGCAATAATTGTAGTACTCAGTCATTTCTGTTCATTCAGTTGTATTGGATAAGTAATGCAAAGGATTGGAGAATCAAACAAAGCTACCCTTTTAATTGTAACGGTTACGAACAGGGCGGAGAGCCATGGAGCTCATTTATTTGTATTCGCGGTTACAATTTGACCTCATAATTATAGAATCAAATTAGAGCCTTGTTAGTTTTGGGTGAATGGTGATGGTGGTGCGTCATTAAAATGCTCCATAAATTTAAGTCTTTTATGTAGCGCTGGCAAATGGTCGGCCGGGTCGCATCTGAGGAAAAGCTTACCGGCCGGCCGGCCACTCGGCCAGGGAGAGGGTCGACGAAGAAGGAAAATAAAAAGGGTGGGACTGCTCGATCAGTGTTGTATTAATAGGCTAAATTATGGTTTTCAAAATCGGATCGGAAAACTGGGAACAGTCAGGTGACCAGTTCCGTTTTACCCCGGAACTATTATTTCGTCAAAAATCATTGATTTAGTTAATAAATCGTTGATCTAGGTGGTCGAATCGTTTGAACCGTTTAATGGTTTTGACCATTTTTTATCTTTTTATTTTTGTCAAAATAGGCCATTTATTCAGTTCAAATGATTAGACCGTTCGACCCGAAAACCAAACCCCTAACCGATTCATTGTCCGATTAAATTTTAAAAACGTTGGGCTAAATTCAGTTTTATCAGTTGTAAACTCTAATACTCTATCAAGGTCCAAGGAAGTAGGGTAAAGACACGTCCGGCCTGCCGGTTTGAAAATTCTCATCCATTTCATTTCTGAAATGCTCAGAAAAGTCATCACATTCAACTTATTATATATATATATATATATTATGTGTTTCTTGAAACTCATCCCCCATATATGTAGCATGATTGAATATTGATCAAAGCAGGGATCGATCTATGGGAGGGCATAATATTGTCTTGTGAATAGTATTGCTTAATGCCAGATTGCACTGGATATCCAAACTGTTTTTTGTTTAAACCAGCCAATCCCTAGAGATTTATTAATAGGTTCACAGGGTGCAGCTACAAAGTAAATGGGTTTCACCTATAAGCTAGCTAGATCCGTTTTTATTTGACTTGCAGTCCAGCTTCTTTAATTACTAGAATGCTCACCTCCCTGAGAGGAAATTTGGAAATTCAATGTTGGAGCATGATTGTTGGAGATTTGAAGAATTAGATTAAAAACTTCGGGTCTTAATTAGAGAAAAGGTGGCAAATCTTGTCCAGAAGTGACCCGTATTTTGGATTTTGGTTGGATTGTCCTAGCTATATAACTAAGTTGTTTTTTATAAATGAAAACTGAATGCTGAAATGCTGAATTTTAACGCTGATAAGCACTGAAAATTCAGTTCAGTGCATTAATTACTGAATAAAAGTCTTAATGTATGAATAGTGAGCACTGAGCATTATTTTCACAAAAAAAAAATGTTTGATAAAATTTATAACAAATGTTTGTAAATAAAATGGTTTTCAAAACCGGACTGGACTGGATAGTCGGACAGGAATACCTGGGAACCGGTTCCGTTTCACCTTAAACCTACTTCTTAGCAAAAAACCGTTGATTTGGTCAGCGACCTAATGAATCACGCAGTCAAACCATCGACCCAGACAACGGTTTTTTTTACTGTTTTTTATTAATTTATTATTATTTTTTTAATTTTTTAAGTCAGAATGGGTCGTACAGTCAGACTGTTCACCCAGGAACCAATCCCACAACGGTTCCCTATCCGGTCCGGTTTTAAAAATCTTGGTAAATAGACACTTGACAGAATATTAAGTGAATTATATTAGCTCACCTGAATTTGACATCTCTGATTATGAGTTCTGACTGTCAAATAATCTTGGGAGAAAGATGGTTCAGCCCAGGGTCAGAATTTGTAGGTTGAAAGTACTGTTAGGGTAGGTGTCAGCTTGGAATTGATGTCAATTCACAGACGGGTATTGATGCATAAAATGTGGATTATTGACACTTTGAATGTTTATAGCTCTGCAGTAGAAATCAGAAATCTGCATTGGGCCTGTCCGTACTTTTCCGAATAATCTTCCAGCCATATGTACAATTGCTTATGTTAGTGTTTCGTAGCAAAAAAAAAAAAAAAGTTTATATTAGTGTTTTTTAAAAGTGGACGAAATCCAATTTTCTTTAATTATTTATATAGATTAATTGAAAGCAAAAAAAAAAAAAATTGACATTTACAAAAATTTAAAATTACTTATATAATCTCCAATAACTGATAAAATCTCTATCTTTCCACTATGATCTTAGTCATTAGAGGGTTTATTTATCTATATGCATAAAGTCCCCTATCACCAAAGAAAATGTGTTTCATCCCATCATCATATCTCGTATTAAGCTCAGTTTACAAGAAATTAAATTATCTAATGAAATGGTTCAGTTTTTATTGAAATAAGTTATATAGAAAATCAAATATAGTAGAAAAATGTTTGTTATTTTTATGATGAAAATGAAATCAAGCCTTATATTATATTGCATTACATAAATTATGGAAATCTTAAAATTAATCTATCTTATTGAACATTAACTATAAACAAATTACGATGTTTACACACTAAACTACAGTTATTAGTTGTTTTCGCCCATTATACTCCCATGCATACTTATTCAATTCGATTAAAAATTGATTTGACTTAATTAACTTGCTTGATGCATTCGTAAATTGATATGAGTTGTTATATTACATTAAATTTAAAAATTATAACCAAGTTAACTTGACTCAAAATCAGTCAACACCTATTCTCCTTTTTCTCACTTGGTCCACATGAGAACGTTAACCCCTGTCATCTTGGTCCACATAAGAGAGAATATTTGTACTTCAAGGTTTTACCAAGAAGGCTAAACCACTGCCCACCACTTGGATAGAAGAAGAGTTTTGTTGTTGTGTTGGTTTTAAATTTTAGGGTTTGACTATAATACCTAAAAGGCATATATGGAAAAGACTCGTAACTGATCAATCATTAGTGTTAACCAACCAAGTAATATTAGAGATGTGTCAAAATGTTTTCTACAAAATTTCTAAGCCCTTCATAAGTTTTTATGTTTTTATCTTTTTAAATTTTCATTATTTAATTATAACATCATGGATATTTAGGACTGTCAATGGGTTACGTGGGTCGGGTCTACCTGATGGACTCGGATCGGCCAAACCGATTATAATAGTTCTAGTTCCATGATTTTGTCCTGATTAATATATAATTGGGTTGGTTCTGGTTCTTGCCTGTCCCGAACTGATTATTTTGTTTACTGTATAATACTTTCTTAATTTTGTTATAATTTTTATCATATTTTAAGTTTTAAATGGTAAATTTGATAGATAATAAATAAGATAATATAAGTTAAAAATATTTAATTTATTAACATATAAATAATTTGGTAATTTTTTGTCATTTTCATTAAGGTTATATTATCAAAATTTAAATTTTAAGTTATTGTTTAAATAAATAAATATAGTTTTTAGTATAATTGGGTCTATTGGGTC